ACGGGCTGAGGAGCAGTTTTCAGCTTATCTTCAGGATCTAGGGGTTGGGGTTCCAGAGTTTAGGGTTTAGGGGTTTAGGGTTTAGGGTTTAGGGTTTAGGGTTTAGGGTTTAGGGTTTGGGGTTCAGGGTTTAGGTTTAGGGGTTTAGGGGTTTAGGGTTTAGGGTGCCTCGGGAAGAGTCAGATCTCGGGCTCCGGTTTGGAGTTTTCAACTGAGGTAATGTAGGGGCCTGAATAATTTACCCATATCATGTTGGTGGCTCCTTATCATAATTATAGCATAGTGTGCCCCAAACCCCTATCCTAAACCCTAAACCCTAAGCCATTAAGGCCCCTTGATATGAATCTTTGGGGAGCAAGCAATGCAGGCATGGGATACCCACGGAGTCCGACAAACACTTGGTCCTTAAACCCTAAACCCTAAACCCTGGTCTTCGATGCAACAGTCCTTCTGACTCTCACAGACGTGTAGATACTGTGGGGGTTTGTGGGTGACGGAGGGGGGTGCACCATAGGAGGGTTCTGTTGGAGACAGATTTTGGAAGGTTGGCTTGGGATGTCGGGCATAGGGCGAAGGATTTTGGTTTCCAGTCTCCAGTCTTGGGTTGAGCATGGCCGTCAGGCAGATCGAGCCAGATCAGTTAGGAACCCAAAAAGGACATAAGCACAAGCACTTTATAGGGCTATCCTACCTTATTGGGCTTCAATATAATGGGGTTTATATGGGATATCCCTATCCTAATTTTGGCTTGTGTGCTTTTTGGGGGCCCTAATCAGAGATCCTGGAGACAAGGCTTCTTCGCCGTGCTGCCGTTGTTAGAGAGCGGTTGCTGAGAAGCTCATGCACAAACGGACATCCATGCGCTACACAGGACGGCTGACGTAGAAGTCGCTTGTGTAGTACCCTAAACCCTAAACCCTGAACGTAGAGTTGAAGGTTCTTTCTCAGTCTTGGGTACTTGGAGGATCATGGGACTTAGTAAGTAAGGTTATAATTAGGGTAACTATACTTCTAGCCCCAATTAAGGGACTTATAACCCTACTTACTAAGTCCCATGATCCTCCAAGTAGATGAGCACCTGTCTATCCCAGGTGGTCCCTCTGTCAGAAGCCCAGAGCCCAGAGCCAATTTCTAATCTAGGTGGCAATTTAGGAAACTTTAAATGTTCCCTTATTGTTTCCAAAGAGGTACCTATTCATAAATACTTTTCAGGGGCCCCAAACTACAACCCAGTAATTGAATTCTACCTGCGAAGTACACGTCAAGCGATAGACAGTTTGAAACAACACCCCACCACATACTGGATCTGGTCAGCTTATCCAGAGTAGCTCCGGTTGCGGAAAGCCTGAACCGCAGAAACGCAACAGCAGTTGTCGGCACATTCTAGCTTGGAGCTCGCAGAAGCTCATTGCCCCTAGATTTGCAAGCTCATGATCTTGTGGGACAACCCTCGAACCAACAGCCTAGATGTCGGCATCCCTGCCAACGACGTGTTCTCACTCGGCGCCGCCTGCCTCAAAACAGTTCTCGCAATACAAGCAATCGAAGATACTGCTGGCGATTGCTGTGTACCAATATCTTAGTCACCTAGTCTGTGTGAAACTTCTGCGCAAGAAGAAAAGCAGTGGTAGTGTGTAGTAGTTTAGAGTTTGCGCCACTGTTATTGGTAGCATTATATCAGAACCACAGCAACAGCAACATGGGCAACAACGTTGTTCATCATCATCACCACTATCATCACCATCATGATCATCATCGCTATCAGGATGATCCTCATCACCATCAGCATCATCATCACCATCACCTTCACCCAAACCATCAACATCATCAGCATCATCATCATAAAGGCACGCCCTCGGCTTGCAGAGTAATTGGACAGGTGTGCAGGCTGAAGTTGTATGTGTGTGCGTAGACTGGCATACCTGCGGCTATCTGTAGTTTGCATGCCTTCGGAAAAAAGCCTTGGGAATATGCTGTCGGCTCGAAGCCGCAACAGGTGATGGTGAGTTCGAAAAGCCTGGCAAGCCGAGCGAAGATGCCACCAAAGCGTCAGCGAGCGCCAGGTTGCTCGCAGAGCTTGGGCCCAGGTATGCAGTGCCCGCTGCAGGTGCAGGTGGGGGAGGACAGCCTGGTTTTGGGCATTTGTGGACCCAGCGAGCTTCGTGGCCTCGAGCGAAGCCGCAAGCAGCTAGCACCTCAACGTCGGTCGGCAGTCCCCAAGTCAACGAGGCTGGTTTCCGCGGAGGCAGTGCTGAGAGCAAGGCTTCGGTGCCTTGCGAAGGAGGCTTGCAGCGAGATGCTTTGGCCATGTGTTGGTCGTCGGGATGTGGTGCAGCACATCATGTCTTTCATCCAAAGCGATAGGCCGCTGATTGATACGGAAGTGGGAGGCAAGATGTTTCAGGACACAGGCTCGGCAAACTTGGACCTCTTCTTCCAGTCGGTTCCACAAGGAAGGCCGAAGGGGGACGAACAGTTGAAGGGGCTGCTAGAGAAGGCTTGGGCCGAGAGTCCAGAGGTTTGTCTGAAGCAGATGTTCCTTCTCGGATCCCGGGATGGCAAGCAGGACAGGTATTCCTTTTACGATGCCATGATGTGGCTTTGGCACAAGGACCCCCACACCCTGCCGGCCAACTTGCACCTGGTGCCTGAGTGCAACTACTGGAAGGGCTTGCTGGAGATACTGGCGCGCATCTGTGAAGGCCCGGTGCGCAGCTTGCAGCGGGACTTGGCCCTGCATTCGCACTACAAGCGCTGCCACAAGCCGCCCGCCAGCACGTAGCTGTCTCGAAAAGCGAACTCGTCGACAACAGTCTACCACCATTCAGAAGTGGGCCTGGATCACGAAATGCCATGGTTGACGACCAAGTAGGCAAGGGCCACCAAATCGAGTCTAACTAAGTTTGAGATGAGTTCCTGAAGCTGTAAGGTATCGGATGGAGGATGCCGGCATCAAAGGGGAAGGCAACTTCTGGCCGGGCTCTCGTCTGCAGTTGGCGGAGGAAGCCCTGAAACTTGGCCGAGTTCAGCGTGCTTTCTGTGGACTCGCCGTGAGAGGGCGTCGGTCGCAGTTTCTCTTTATTGCCTCCAAACAACACTATGGCTATGGCATTCTTGTGTTCTTTGGGCTAAGGCTTGACTGCTGTGTCCACACATACCAAAAATGATTCCTGGCGTCTCATCATTTTTTGCAGCAAATGTTGCGAATCTGCTCCCCGCGCCGCTACTATCTCACAGGATGCATCGGGCGCGCGTTTCCCACCGTGGTGCGGTGCGCACTTTTTGCAGTCGTCCTCTTATTTGTGGAGTATTCGTTTGAGGCGCGTGCTCCGGGACCAGGATTCATTGATCGTAAATAATATCACCTGCACCACCCTTGAACTCTCGAAAACCCCGCCAGTACTTGGGGGAAGGCATTTTGGCCCTGTCCTGTTGGTCTCCTTGTGCAGTCCCGCTGGTCTCCCGCCGGTTGTCTCTGCAGTGGTCGCCTAGTCCGGTCGTTGCCGTCGTGGTCGTCCGGGTCGCAGTTCTCGTCACGGCAACATGGCGTAGATGCTGGAGAAGCACAGATGGCAACCTCTTTGCGATCTGTGTTTTCGCATACTCGTGAGTACAGTGGTTGTGCCGTTCTGGTGTTCATGGCATGCTTTTGGTATGATCTTTCACTGTTCCGGGATCTCCTTTGGCATAACCTATTGCTGCTTAGCATGGAAGCCTGCAAGGAAGCGTTACGACAGGGACCCGGTCTACCGATCGCTCTTCGAACGCATCGCACGACTCTTTGCAGAGCAGCTGCGCGTGGACCTCGCGGCCATGCGCCGAGGCCAGAAGGTGAGGCTTTGCGCGAAGTGGTGCCCTCTGCTGTACCATTCCTTTGATCGCCGGACCCTCCTTTGCGAGGGTATTGCCCGCTGGCTCTTCCCGGCGACCTTGCCAGAGTTTGCAGGCTGCAGCGAGCGACAGTATGCCTACAGAGCTCGCGATTTGCTGCGGGAGCGGCTCTCTGAGCTCACCGAGTACATGAAGCTCCCGGAGAGGCTGATCTGCCAGCATCGATGGGCTGAGATCCGACACAAATCGTTTCCCGCGGCTTGCCTGACCAAGCATGCCAAGAGCTTCGAGAAGCACGACTCCGTCAGGTTCAGAGAGTTCATGGACAAGGTCGAGGGCGGAAAGGTCCGGGTGAACACCGGAGCTCTGCAGCCACACGAGATCTTGAAGCGCGTGCAACGGGCCGCTGGCAAATATGGCAAGGCCTTGGCGCAAGGACAATGGCGGGCCATGGTGGAGCGAATCCGCGAAGCTGGCCAACTGCAGGATTGCATCGCTGTGTGCGACGTGTCGGGCTCTATGTCCTGCGAGGCCGCACCAAACATCAGCTGCATGGACGTGGCCATCGCACTGTCCTTGCTAGTGGCGGAGCTTTCTTCCGGGCCCCTGGCACGTCAAGTCATCACGTTCCACGAGCGACCGTCCCTGGTCAAATTTCCCGACACTTCGGACCTGTGCGAGTTGGTGAGCTTCATTATGCGGTTGGATTGGGGTGGGAGCACCAACTTTCACCGAGTCTTCCAGCTCTTGGAGAATGTTCCCCAACCGCCCAAGAAAATCTTAGTCTGCTCTGACATGCAGTTCGCCAATGCCGGTGGCAACGCCACAGTGCTGGGGCAGATTCAGCGGAACCATCGGCCGGACCATGCCTGAGCTGGTGTTTTGGAATCTCCGAGCAACTTCGGGTGCACCGGCCCTCGCCACCGACGCAGGGGCTGTGCTGATGTCCGGCTTCTCGTCGCGCTTGCTGATGATGGTCACAGAGTCCGGGCCGGATCCCTTGGCAGCCTTCAGCCAGGCGCTAGAAAAGAACCCTCTCTGTGGAAAGGTGCGTGTCGCCGACGCCTCTGACGAAGAGGAGCTCCTGGGCCCTGCTCTGGGGTCCTTCGCTGCCGAGGCTGAGGCCGAGACAAAGGCGGCTGAGGCCCAGGCCCCAACGCCCAAGCCCAAGCAGCGGAAACGGCGGCAGGTCACGGTGGCGTTGGCCGGACTGCCGTGCCGCGTTGCTGAGGCCACTCATCGGCAAAGGGGGCCAGAGGATCCAAAAGCTGAGGAAGACACTCCAGGACCGCCTTTGCCAAGAGCTGGACAAGGGCTACTTCCGCTTTTGGCTCGATGTGCGAGACTTCGTCTTGCAAGCGACCGTGGAGGCCGCCGAGACCTCGTTCGGAGAAGATCAGATTCGAACCGCCCTGGCGCAGCTCAAGCACAGCATCCCGCGCAGTGTTGTCTACAACAAAGCTCAACACATTCTTCGCGTCGACGACGGCCTCCCCACACGCGCACCGGGCGCAGCGTCTGCCACTCTCGGGTCCCTGCCGACTAATCGGGCCGTTGCTGACATTATCGGCCCAAAGGGTTCGAGCATTCAGTTCATGAAGGAGCAGTTGGAGCGCATCCTGGATGAGCAGCTGATCTTGTCAGCGACTGTGGTGCCCCACGACAGCTCGCTCACCGAAGGACAGCTGGTAGCTGCCTTTCAACTGTTGAAGGCCCATGTCCAAAGAAGCCAACAATACATGAATGCCCGTCGGGCTCGGCAGCAGTGGAGAAAGACCGACGGCACCTGCGAAGTCTACTTCGCGCAAGATGACCGCAGAGAGGTGGCCAGGAACGGCACCCAACGTGCTGTTGCCAGAAGGACTCGAGCAAATGCCAGGAAGCAGAGGTCACTCTTCAAGTACTGGAGAGCCGTCAGAGCAAGAGCAGCCCAGGTCAGCTCGAAGACCAAGGCGAAGGCATCCATGCCTAAGCGGATGGTTAGGATGGCCAGGATACACAAGTTCTTTTCCGATGATTCCTCTGACGTATAGATGACCGAACTCATCCTGTTGCCTTTTTTGGAGCATTTCGACTGAATGTCGATTGGACAGCTCATGTGGCACTTGAGGAAGGTGCCTTCCCTCTTCAAAGTTCCCGGCCAAACTTGTCACCATTGTACAGTGTGCAGAAAACATCATAAGCTTTTACAAATTCAGTAGCTTGTTCCCGCGATGTTAGCTGAACTTGAAGAGATTTTGAGCTCAAGGGTGCAAACACAGCTCATTGCCGCCACCAGCCATGCCTTGCCTTGAATGTTGGCAAGTGGCGTAGCTTGTCGTCTTTGGCTGGACATTCGTCGGTTGACTCCATGAGATTGGGCTGTCAGGCGCTCGAGCCTTATGGTTCTGACATGATTGCACCCTTCTCCTTCTTCCCACGTCGCCAAAATTCCATGGGCTGTAGGCACCCAACTCGAGCCAATGTCTGAATCAGTATGGCCATGCATCACTCCCATGGAGCAGGAGTATGTTTCTACAATAGCACGATACTCTTATCTTCAGGCCCGGCAGCAATGCTCAGATCCGAGTAACCTGATTTGAAAGGCTCACGTCTAGCCATCAAATTCGCCCCTTCATTCTGCATGCCCTTACACTGGCTTCCCAAAGCTGACGCGTGTGCCAGAAGATGACGAATGCCTGCCGATGGCCACCATCGGCCGAGAATGTACTGCAGCCGATGTCGAAGCTGCAACCCTAAACCCTAAACCCCTAAACCCCTATAAACCCTAAACCCTAGACCCTAAAACCCTATAAACCCTAAACCCCTATAAACCCTAACCCTAGACCCTAAAGGTGATCCTCTACGTGATCGAGACCGGGAGCCTTCCCCCCTTCGGGAACGACGTGGACGGCCCCTTGGACTCCGGGCACTTTCCGGTGGTTTCTTTCAGTTTCCCATCGCCGCGCGCCTCAAGCCTTCCATAACCTCAGGGCCTTCATGCCCGAAGAAGGTTTAGGGTTTGGGGTTTAGGGTTTGGGGTTTTGGGTTTTGGGTTTAGGGTTGTCGCCTGCGTCCTTCTTCGCAAGCCCAGTACAGTAGCCGCCACAACCGATGATATAAATCCTGCATGAGCCATAGTAAGGAATAGAGACCTTAATTCCCATAGTTTAGGCTCCTTAAGGTAATTTCAGGGTTTGTATCATCAACAGTAGCAAAAGGGTATGGTATACGATTAGTATAGTAAGGAACCCCCCGAACCCTATTCTAATTATTAAGGCCCCTACACCCTAAACCCACACAGTAGCCCTTGTAGCAACCCGTTTAAGGGACCCCCTTTAAAGGAACCCTATTCTAATTATTAAGGCCCCTACACCCTAAACCCACACCGTAGCCCTTGTCGTAGCCCGTTTAAGGGACCCCCTTTAAAGGAACCCTATCCTAAACCTTAAACCCTAAACCCTAAACCCTATTATAACTATTAAGGCCCAAACAGCAATGCGTATAAACCAGTCTGCGTCGACCCGTGGGGGTTTTTAGGGGTTGAGGGCTCCTGGGTTCCAGGTTTAGGGTTTAGGGTTTAGGGGTTTAGGGGTTTGGGGTTTAGGGGTTTAGGGTTTAGGGTTTGGAGGGTTTAGGGTTCAGGACGTATTTAGGGGTTTAGAGGGTTTAGGATTTATTAAGGGGTTCGGAGGGTTTGGAGGATTGCAGGTTTAGGATTTATCAGAGGGTTTAGGATTTATTAGGGGGTTTAGGGTTTAGGAGTTCTTGGAGGGTATTTTAGGCGTTTTGAGGTTTTTTGGGCTTTTAGGATTTAGAGCTTAGAGTCGACGAAGGGCTTGGGGGGGAACCCTAAACCCTAAACCCTACTAAGGTTTAGGGTTTATAAAGGGGTTTAGGGTTTAGGTAATTTAGGGGTTGAGGGGTTTAGGGTTTAGGCCCTAAACCCTAAACCCTCGTTTGACGGCGTCTCCGAAGACCAAGGCCAGCGTGGTGCTTGCATATTTTCAAGGAGGTGTTCAGGCTGTCGGTTTAGGGTTCAGGGTTTAGGGTTTAGGGTTTAGGGACTTTTAACTCTAAACCCTAAACCCTGAACCCTAAACCGTAAGCCTCTGAGCCTCTAAGCCCTCAAGTCGCAAGCCGGGTAAAGATGCAGAAAGCAACAAACCCCTGCGTTGGTTGTTGTGGGGATAAAGACCCTCTCAATAAGGTCCCTTTTAAGAGAGCCAAAAGCAGGGTTCAGAAGGGGTACCCTTTAAGGGGTACCCCTAATAATACTACCCAAAGCCCCTGCGCTGGTTGTTGTCCTCTTCGCCAAAGGTTCTTTGACGACGGCTTACCATGCGGAGCAGGATCCGAAGCTCCTGCACAGGCCACTTGTGCCGGAGCTTAGTGACCTAAACCCAAAACCCTAAACCCTAAAGAGGCTGAGGATCTAGGTGATCAGGTGATCGCTTGGGGGGGCTTTGGTTTTGGATTCTGGCGTTGTTTGTTCAGAGTGGGAATCTGCTCTATGGATATAGCCCGCAGTTTCATGATTCATAGACATCTCCCGGAAAGATGTCCCAAGATTCTCACACCGGTTCTGCTGGCCTCAGGGTGTCGCCAGGCCCACTTTTTGTGTGAATGAGCGCGGAGGAGCCCTCGCGACTTCTAAGCCCGGCTTTGGGTTTGGTGTTCAGAGCATACCCCTGTACTTGCCATAGTTCAGAGGCCTTTCTCCCAGCAGTCCCTGGTCAAGCTGATCACAAGAATGCTGGAGCCGAGCCCCGGATGCTATGTTACATTCTGCCACATATGAACACGGTGATGTTGCCCATGCGTGCATGTATGTATGTACGTACATACGCATGCACGGGGTGTTACTAGACTTACGGATGACAGATGTAGTTGATGCTGATCTAAAGCGAAAATCGGGTAAACGAGGTAGGTAGGTACGTAGCTTGGTGGGCACCTAGTGTTCGAGAGCCTCACACAATGATTGTACCAAGCAGAATGGCTAGATCAGGTGTAGCTGCCGCTGCGTATATGGTGGATGAGTTGACGAAGAGGGTGATGGTGACAATGATGCGGCTTCTGATAAGCTCAGCGAACTCTCCGACGTCTTGGGTCGGATTCGCATTTGTTCTTTGGGGGCTTCCCGGGCTTCTCGGGCTGCGGGCCCCTGGTCCTTCGAATCCATGTCTTGATTGCTCAAGAGGCGCGCGAGGCTTGAAGTCCCTCTTCAGGGAAGAGCGAACTTCAAAGCTCCAAACCTTAAACACAAACGTTCCCCCCCCCTTGGATACCAAGCATTCATTGGAGGATAATCGTTGGGATGTCTGGGTATGTCTGGGTAGGCAGACCCGAACTCCCGCCCAAAAAGGCCTGAATCTGTAAAGGTAGCAGCACCGCCGACACGGCATCTTTACATTATTTGACATGCATGCTCCTACTTTACGGTTCAGACGTAGCCAGGCACAAGTGGACTTACAAGAAGGTCGATGGGGCTTGAAATGCGCAGTCTTCTCCTATATTTTTTCAGTATCAAGAGGCCGAGCGGCTATCCATAAGCATGCAATTACTGCCAGTCACTACCATAAAGCAACAAGGTCATACTAATTACTTCACTGAGTTGCTCCAAGTACCGAGGCATCCCAGAAGGCGGATTCACCTCGAAGATGCGGAGAACCGGCTGCGTGCGACTCTGCAGAACGCATTCCTGGGAGCTGTTATTTCTGAGGTTTCGGGGGACGTGCGAAGTTTAATTTCGAGATCGAAGTTTCGGGGTCTTTGTTGTGTCTGCATGTGGGCATGCAAGAGACAACTGCATAGAGAAGCAGGTCGTTTAGCGGCTAGAAATAGATGCAGAAGCCGAAGCCATCGTGCATCAATCGACGGCTCCGTCTTGGATT